ACACAGAGATTAGAGATGACTGTTTCTAGCTTGGTGTTCAGTTTAAAACAGTGATACATCTCTTATGTACAATGCATATCCTCAAAAATATTGCTTTAAGTAAATAAAATGTTAATTAATATAACATCACTCACAGACATCAAAAAGTGTTTCACAAAGCAAAACTAAAATAAATACAAACGAACAATATAAGCATGAAAGAAAACAAGTTAATGTGACTAATCAAATAATAAGTAAATGAAGTAATACTTTTAGCTCAAAACTTGTCTGAACTTTATTTAACTTAATTTAAACAAAGACCGTTTTAAGCAGCTTGCTCTTAATATAAGAATAGACACATATTAGTAAGTCAACTAATATGAATAACTTAATTATTGAAAGAGAAGTACAGTTGGATATTATCAGCATACAAATGTATGACACATTTTTAAAGCTGTTGATGCACAGAAAGAATAATACTGTGCCAAGTACTGAGCCCTGTGGAACACCATGAAACAGTAGAAGCATATTAAACATGTATTAAATTCAGTTTCCGGCACTGAACGGGCTCATGACAGATTCTGGCTCAGTAGTGAGTTTGGTGGATGGATGAAAGAACTGCCTCAGCACTCAGGTTTGTCCTGTGTTTGTGTTTGTGTTTGTGTTTGTGTTTGTGTTTGTGTCTGCAGATGAGCCGCTCAGGAAGCCCATCCCTCTGCACGAACAGACGGTGAAAGATGAGAAGGGACGGTACCAACGGTTCCACGGAGCCTTCACAGGGGGCTTCTCTGCCGGTTACTTCAACACTGTCGGCTCCAAAGAAGGTCAGAGTTGGTCACGTCCTGCAGAGGTCCTACAGGATGGACGGTTAATTAATTTTTCATGAACTTCTAACCCTTTAACCTCGTGTTGTTGTTAATTTAAGGCTGGACCCCGTCAACCTTTGTGTCATCACGGCAACAGAAAGCCGAGAAGCATCACACCCGACCGGAGGATTTTATGGACGAAGAGGTGAGAATGGAAATGTTTTGTGTAACGAGGAAGAAATAAATAAATCATAAATTTACCTGAGGTTGTAAATAAACGTGAAGGAGGAGACGGTTGTGTTTTTCACGTTGGAAATGCTCTTCAGGATTTCAGTGAGCACGGCATCGCTCCCAGGGAGATCACCACCAGCCAGGAGTTCTCGTCCAGCCGCAGAAACGAGGCCGCGGAGAAGGCGAGAGCTGTCAGCGCTCAGGCTGCTCTGATCCCCGGAGACACGCTGCTGGAGGAGCTGATCGCACCTGCCAGGTAACACGGGCGGCCACGCCTCTGAGGGAATACTTTACCTGCAGGTTAAAGGAAAGTGTGCTGGTTGTGTCCGTCAGGCTGTCCATCGGGGTGGAGCTGCTGAGGACGATGGGCTGGAAGGAAGGTCAGGGCGTGGGGCCTCGTGTGAAGAGGAAACCACGCAGACAGCAGAGCAGTACGTCAACCTTTACACTTTTACATGTGACAGAGTGCTGCAAAGGTCCAGCTCCTGTAGTGGTCCTACAGTCGCACAGTCCTACAGTCGTACAGTCCTAAAGTCGTACAATTTTACAGTCCTACAGTCGCACAGTCCTACAGTCGCACAGTCCTACAGTCGTACAGTCCTAAAGTCGTACAATTTTACAGTCCTACAGTCGTACAGTTTTACAGTCCTAAAGTCGTACAATTTTACAGTCCTACAGTCGTACAGTTTTACAGTCCTACAGTCGTACAGTCCTACAGTCGCACAGTCCTACAGTCGCACGGTCCTACAGTCGTACAGTCCTACAGTCCTACGGTCCTACAGTCGTACAGTCCTACAGTCGTACGGTCCTACAGTCGTACGGTCCTACAGTCGCACAGTCCTACAGTCGTACAGTCCTACAGTTTTACAGTCCTACAGTCGTACATTCATACAACCGCACAGTCGTACAGTTGTACAGTCCTACACTCGTAGAGTCGCACAGT